CTTTTCCAAAAGTAGCATTTATAGTAGTAGTCACCCTTGGGAGACTTCTGGCACTTGGGTGATCTAGTATTTGTCACCAGATTAACAGGAATTCAAATATATTTATAGTCTCTGTAGATTTTACAGCTTTTACTTCTGCTACCTAGAGAATCAGCTGCATAACCTCAGAAGAATAAAACACAAGCTCACCTAGCTTCTGGTTTTTAAACACTGTTTTACAGACTGTCCAAAGATGATTTCAACCCACTGGCTTCAGGAGAGATCAAGGTTCTGAGGTTCCCTTCCCACAAGCAGGCTGAGGGATGTTATTATTCCCTCAGTATTGTAGGCTGTACCTGGAACACTTTACCAGCTTTTGGCTGGAGAGAAATAGGACTGGATCCAGCAAAAAGTAAGGTGGTCAGAGATATGTAACTTGTGAGGAGAGGCTGAGGAAAAGGGGTTGGTTTGTTCTGGTGAAGATGAGGCTCAGACCAATCTGTGACTACATGAGGAACAGTTACAAACGTGATGCAGTCAGACTTTTTTGGCAGTGCCTGATGATGCACTAAGAGGCAGTGGTCACAGAGAGCAGACTGGGAGGTTTGGGATGGATATAGGAAAATATTGCTCTGTAGCACCACTCTGTAGTGCTGGAACAGGTCACCTGGCAAGGCTGTGCAAGCTCCCTCTTTGGAGGCTTTCTAGACCCACGGCTGAGTGGATCCTGTGCTGCCAAGGGTCTGGCCTGAGTGGGAAGCTTGTCTAGCCACGTTCCAGAGATCCCCTTTGAGCAGCACTTCTTTGATTCCACTTGGCTGAAACTTCCCTATTTCAAACTACATTTCCTTCTGCACACCACATTTAAGAAATGATAATTTGAGGTATTTTGCTTTCAGGTAAATATACTGACAAGAGAGCTAGCTGGTAACATGCTCTCCGTGCATGCTCTGCAGCTGCCTGCCTGGATCACAGGCTGGGTGCTTCAATGGTTCACCCACCCCCACTAGCACCTTACCTCCACTAAGGTCAGCCTCAAGGACTACTGAAATTGCCTCAAAACTCTCACACAAGTGCAGGCTCTGGGGTGGAGATACAGGAGGAGCTGGTGGCCCCAGCAGAGTTGGGGCCAGCCAACGTCACTCCCCTGGCTCCAACAGAGCAGGCGCAGGAGTCAAATATCTGTCAGACACTTCATGGGGGTCCTGATCAAAATGACCACTCAAGACCCCATGGAACACCCCAGGCCTCATTTCAAGAAGATTCTCAAGTCTATGAGACACATGCACAGCTTAGAAACCACCCAGCAACTTAGACACTGCCCCAGAGAAGGACAAATCTCCACACAAAGAATCATGGTCGACCCACCACCTATGGACCAGGACCTCAACTCAAGACAAGGCCATGGGATTCACAGGAAGTGGCACCTTTTCTTTGCCTTTAACTTTATCATATCTTTTTTTTTACTCTTCTATCTTATTTTCTCTCTTCTCCTTTTTATTCAGATTAAACAGTGCCACACTTTCAGCCTTAGATTGCAAGTTGGGCAATGGAAGTTCAACTACATGTCTATATCCACCACAGACCAACACTGTTATATCAACGTTTTGCTCAGCTAGGGAAAATGTTAAAGCAGTAGAAGAACACTTATAGAAGCTTTATATTATGCATACATCTCCAACAGCACTGCTCCTGTGTGACTGTGCAGCCCAGGGAAGGAAAAGGGCTCATCTTAAGTGCAATACTTATATCAAGTTACTTCACTCAGACTAACCTTGAGAGTACATGCTAAGAAACGACATTTCAGCTACACAGAGTGATCCGATTATGAACCCAGAGTGATTAGATTAGCAGCAGATAACTTGGATGCCAAGCTGCTGCATCCCCATTGAATTACCAGCTCCACCAGCAGCAGCAGCACTCCCCCTTCCACCCAGCTCTCCCCACAGGCCAGGCACTTCAGGCTCTAAGCATCTCTTTAAGCTTCTTTAGACATCAAGTAAACAAAAAGCAGAATTGAAATCTTGCCTCCTATTGTATCAAAACCAATTTGCTGTCATAGAACATCAATACTTTGTCTGTTAGGGTCACAATGACTATTAAAAGCACTTCACAGGTCACAACATTTCATAAAGGCAACAGCCATAAAAGCTGACACGTAGCTCACCAGGAGGCCACAGGGTCCAGGAGACAGCAGCTCAGAGCAAGACCTTCAGCTCAGCCCTCCCCTGAGCACGGCCACAGCACAGGGCTCCCCTGGCGAGGGGCAGCTCAGCCAACCAGAGCACCTTGCAGCCACCCACCCAGCCCCTTGGCCTAATTTTGGAAACAGATTTTGCTTGAGACCTGTGAATTTAGCTAATGGCCCGAAAACACTTTTAAATTACCACAGAAAAGAGTTCTTGAGAAAGTGGTGTAGACAGTCCTGAAATGGGTGCAGGCTCAGGAGAAAAATCAGAAGGCAACAATAGCTGCTCATGCAGAAGGATTCCAGTACAAAACCTGTTGTTTCTGTAAAGAGGTTTTGGCTGTGTTCAAATTGTTGATAATACCATTTGGGGAAATTTTGCAACAAACTCAGTTTTTTTGGGGGTCTATTTTCTTTTTTTTTAATTTTTTTTTAATAAAAGTCCATCTTCACCAGCACTACCCAAAGAACGACTCCTATTTCTCTAGTATTTGGCTGAGTTAATGCATAATATGTTCATTCTGCTGAGCCTACCTACACCCATCTGATTCTAATTAATCACCAGCCAGGAGCATTTTTCTGCACTGACTAGGAAACCTTTATGGCAGTTACCAGCCCTCCTCCCCTCTCTTCCATCCACCAAGAAGCAAAACTCCCACACTGCAAAAATATTTTAACTCAACAGGGCCTTCTTTATTGTCATATTAGCCTCTTATTATCCCAAGATTGAACAAAACTGATGGTTTCTATCCAAACTATGCAAGGCTGTGACTTTCTGGAATTTATCTGGGGTGTTTATAATTTATTTTGAAATCCAGTGTATTGTTTCTCCATCATTTACCCAAGAAACACAGACAAAGCCTGAGATATGTTGGAATCACCTGTTTTGTTCAACCCAGTGCAGTGTATTTTAGTTTCTATAGATATTTCATGATCTCTCCAGTTTCTCCTCTGGAATCTGTATCACAATATAGTTGAGAACATGTATTAATCCACACTTAATTTAAAAGAAAAATTAAAAAAAAAATCCATGTTTGAATGAAAATGTGAAGAGAAAGCAACAAAAGAAGAGGGGCAAAAAGAAATCTGGAATCTTTCTGTTGGTGTTTTCAGGCATAACAAACTACAGCAATTTATTTCACCATATCCAGTTGTAATGCTAAACCACAGATAAACATTACCAAGGCAGCAAGAATGTGTTTCTTCCTTCTGATGGAGGTCCAAGATTGCCCTCTGGAGTATGCCAGACAGCATGGGGTACTTCATTTACCATGTGATTGGCACACACTTGAGTTTTTATTCAGTTTGGAGATGAAATTGTTGGCTAAAGCTCTGGAAATTTTGACTCTAGAGTTGTCAGGCAGGCTGTCTTTACTTTGAGAAAAAATAATTCTTTTTAACAAGGCTATGTTACTTGGCTTTTGATGTGTTTTCACATTGTTCATTAATGTTTTGCATTTCTACGTATGGTGCAGCACCCCGAGAACTTTAGGAGGGGGAACTTCATAAAGGAGGTTTATTATTTCAGTGTGCACTAATAAAATTGCTACACGTTTGGGGAAAGATTTGAATACAATCTATTTTGATGGCACAGAAAAAGGTCAGTCATTGCATGCTGCTACAAGAAGATGCAGCTGCTCACTGAAAGGCACAAATCATTTCTTAACGTAGCTGATTTTCCAAGCAGCACTTAAAATCCCAGGAATTCTAAGGGTTGAGGGTTTACTTTTCCATCCATCTTGTAAACAAAGGAAATTATCTCATAAACTTATGCTTCAATTTTTTAAGTCAACATTATTTTGCATAGCAACGAGCTTATTTCTAGTATGTTTTAAGACACACAGTTTGGTTTATTATTTTATTGGTATTAATGGAAGTGATCCAGAAGAGGAAAACGTGTTATTGGGAGGTCTGGCTTGAATAAATTCCATATTCTAAAGCCAGTAAGTACTCTGGGAGCAGAGTGCTTGCAGGATTGGTTCTGAATTCACTTCCTTAGGGACACATCACTATAACATGATTCTGATAAAAGTTCTTTTCAGGTTCTGTCCACCTCAAACTCAAGCCTTCCTCTTTCAGCTTGAGTTTTTCTCCCCTTTCTGCCATGACTGAAGTGCACAAAAGTACACTCACAACTTGAGAGTGTCCCCACAGGCACAGAAACATTGTTTACAACATCCTTTCTGTCTTTCCTTACACAACTGCTGTGCTACAACCAAACGTTCCAGGTATCTTGCACAGCAACTTAATGCCTAGCTGCTTTTTTATCTGGTTTCTCTAAGGGGTAGTAACCTGCCTGCCTAGCCATGAAACCCTTCAGGAAAGTTTCTCTCTTACCTGCACATGCAGTTTTGGCTCCCTGTTGTGGCAAACTCTGAGGGATCCAGTTCCATCATATGCTTCTGTCAACAGAGATGCTGTTAGCTGCTGAAGGTACAGCCACACCACAGATTCAGAAGCTGAAGGAGCTTTTGTCTCAAGATGAGGGTTAACCAGTATTGAGTAACACAGGTACAATCACTACCTCTGTTCTCCTAAGAGCAGTTTTTCTAAATATATGTACGATGGTGCTTTTCTTCATAATGCTCCTCTTAATTAAAATTTTTCTAGCCTGGCTTCAGAGTAATGTCTGATGGTTGATTTCAATGAACTCTCAACTGTACCACCGTGTTCACTTTACACAAACATTTATTTCATCATCTCTCTGAGCAACAAGTAGCTCAGCTCTCGAGAAAAAGGCTCTGCTGACCAGAAGTTGGCTCTGCAAAGGTGCTTTTATAACTCAGCTGACTTGCTTGGCTGCAGGTTTCTTCACTCTCAGGAACAGGTTTACCAGGGCACCATTTTTCTGAGTGGTGCCTTGGATAGCGCCTACAAAATGGGCCCTCAGGATTTTGCTCTCCCACAAAGGATGTCTGGTAGGTGGTAAAGCCATCCCTGCTGCTCGGGATGGGTGTGTGAGCCCAGAGGCAGAAGTTCTGTGAGTTGTGCTGTCGTCTCTCTGGTTCCACCTTCCTCCGGCCCATACCCTCAAAAAAAACATTGGAAGAAAAATTCCTCTAAACATATGACTTAAAATCACAGTTTCACAGATGAATCTTGTAGCAGTTGCTGCCCCACTGGGAAGTTAACGAAGCTGTTACCACAGTGATTTCAAGAACTCCTCGTTGATCTTTAGCAAGTTAAAAATAATATTGTCAGACTTGCCTGTATGAACATTTCTGGTTGTATATATAATGGCAAATCTGTTGACCTTCCACCCCTTAGTCCTAATAAACCATTTATACTCTGCATTTCCATGGCATGCTCTATACTCAAGGCTATTTAGCTATACCCAGATAAATTAATCTTCTGAGTAACCCAAAGAAGTAGGTTAATAATTTTCTGTTCGGACTGCAACGGAGAAACGGAAGCAGACCATGAAATCTGAATCTTCAAAGCTATCCCTTGTGTGTCCACACACACACACAGAGCCTGATTTTCACACTTCATAGCTTGCAGGAAATTTATTTGGAATTATGGGTGATCAGTATCTCTAAAACTACGAGACACCGTTCAAAGTGCACTGAAATGGAGGTTACTCAGGGAATAATGAACAAGGAAAAATCCAGGTCTAAGTGAGGCCAAAGTCAGACAAATTTTCAATATTACAATTCACTGCTTCCTCCTCTACTCATTGCCTTGTGAACTGCCCTATTTCTTTTATTGCCTAGAAAGATGTCAACAACCTAAGAAAAGTGGAAAAACATGAAACTGTTGCACATAGAGAAAAGTCCCAAACAATTTAAATTCTTTTCAAAGCTGTGGCTTTTGCAACATACATTTCAAAAGGTATATGATAAATAGATTGGAAATATTACATGCTAGAGATATATTGTGGGTGTCCTATGGATATTGGTTAAGCTTATGACAAAAAGGAGGCTGAACCAAATATGTGGGACTGTGAATTATGAGTGGCTGAGAACCCTAGAAAAGTTCATCACAAGGCCAATCACTTTTAGCAGACTAATAGGACATACAAAGTCTAGCAAACTAATAGGACATGCCCTGGGACTTGGCACTGGGGAAGCCACAGCTTGAGCACTGGGGTCAGTTTTGGGCACCACAGGGTAAGAAGGACATTGAGGTGCTGGAGGGGGTCCAGAGAAGGGCAACGAAGCTGGGCAGGGGTCTGGGAACATGTGTTACAGAAGTAGCTGAGGGAAGTGTGGTTGTTTAGCCTGGAGAAGAGGAGGCTGAGGGGAGACCTTATCGTGCTCTACAACTCCCTGCAAGGAGGCTGGCAGGCAGTGGGGGTTGGTCTCTTCTCCCAATTAACTAATGATAGGAGACTGGGAAATGGGCTTAAGCTGCATCATGGGAGGTTTAGATTGGATATTAGGAAGAATTTCTTTCCTGCAGAGGTGGTGAGGCATTGGCTCAGGCTGCCCAGGGAGGTGATGGAGTCACCATCCCTGAAGGGGTTCAAAAACTGTGTGGACGTGTCACTTCAGGACATGGTTTAATGCTCGTGGTAGTGTTGTGTCCATAGCTGGACCTGATAATCTTACAGGTCTTTTCTAACCTTAATAATACTATGATTCTACAACTGAGCATCAAACCACACTGAGACAAAAAAAACAGGACCACTAAAATGCCTGTCAGAGACACAAATCATGAGGGTTTTGTTCCCCTTGAATTCAGCCACTCCCAGTGACCATGTGTGCTGCTGTACACCTGAGCCAGCCCCAGAGGAGTCCCATCCCTGTACTAATACAGAGTGTGTTTTACTCTGCTGTTTCATTTTTCTCTTCTCACAATCTTTAGCATCTGTAATTTTTTTCAGAGAAAAGATACTGTGTTTAATCTCTGGCAGGCTGAGAGAGATGAACTTGCTTGATTTTTCTCAGTGCTGGGTACTTACAAGATCAAAATACTCTGCTACATTCTGTAGACAGTGTTTGTTGTCATGAGAAGAAAATGGGAAATTGTTCACTGCTTTCTGAAAAAAAAAAATATAGGAAAAAAATGTTACTTGAATATACTTTTTTTTTTGAATCTACAAGTCAGTTTTTCTAGTCTGACAGCTGCTGAAATTACAGCTGCCTATATTCTAGCACACAAGTCATGTTCATATGTTAAATCTTCAACTGCACATCATTTTGTAGGGGTAATGTGGACCCTCTGGATTTTTTTTTTATTTTGTACAAAATTGTCAGGAGGATTTGTGTTCTCTTGACTTGCTGAATATATACATGATTAATGGAAAAGTATGAATTTTCAAAGCAGCCAAACACGAGATATATGTCAGCATTGCCTTGTTTGATTCACTAGTAAGCCTAAAGCTAATTAAAATGAACTACAAAAGGGACCTCAAAACTGAATTAATCTATGATTTATGTGCTGAATGTCATGTACACTGCTTGTTGCAGGGGAAGTGGAGGAGGTATTAATTGCATAACTAATTTATAATCTCATTCTTTAACATAATGTTCATCCAGCTGCTAAAAGGAAACTATAGAGTTTTAGGAGACAAAAAGGACAACTGCAAAAGAACCTTTTAAAAAGTAATTTAAGAAATGTAATTTTTTAAAAGTTTATTATATATCATTGCAGTATTATTAAAATAGCTAAAAACTGAAATGCTGAAAACCTTTCTGGACTATTAGGTTGCCTCTGTTCTTCCCCAAGCATTATTTTCCTGCTTCATGTTGGGAAATTTATGTGGGTTTTTTTTCTGTAAATGCTCTAGAAATTATTACTTTTAACGTTGTGCAATAAATTTTTCATCTGCCAGCTAGGATCTTCACCTCCAAATGGAAGAGCAGGTTTTATGTAACACAGTTTTTAAAAGCCTGTTTCCAGAGTGAAATGAATTTGATTCAGTTCAAATGATAAATGTAAGTTAAGAGTGTTGCCTTTACATCTTTCACAATGTAAAGCTGGATCCAGCCAGAAGAATCACCAAATACAAAATTTGCCTGCATGGGGTCAGCTGCATCATCATATCTTAGAGCACTGGGTACACTAGACAGATTTTCTACCTTTTTTAGGCACATGCCACATGCTCACTTGGTTTTTTTTTCATACAGATTCAACCAGACTGTAGTTCAATGGATAAATGAATTCCACAGATAGGTTCTCATACATGAGTTTAAAAATAAGCACCTTCTGAGTCAGTAAAATGTTAGGACTTACTAAAATATTCTACTGCAATTACATGTCACTCAGCATTTTAGGGATAGATTTTATTACTAGTGCCTATATGCCACAGGAAAATTGAAAATCAAGATGGTAAATATTGAATATCATCTCTGGAAGGATTTTCCATATTAACTAATGGTTTTTAAAAAAATCTATTATAGAGTAATTATAGCACTCTCATGAAGTAAGAAATAAGAGGTAGTATAGGCTGAAACACTACTGGATTTCTGAGAAAATTAATTAACCTCAGAGCCAGTGAGCTCCCCCACACAAAGAGATTAGAGCTATCCAGCCTGATGTGCAGTGAGCTTCCCTAGCAGCACTTCTTAATAACATCCCATAAACAAACTTCCTCAGAGTGTTCCTGTGACATCACATTTTAGCCTGGAATGCCTCTTCCTACTCTCCCTGCTGTTCTTAGTGAAATTCTTGATTTATGACAGGAATTCCACTTATTCTTTTTAAGAGTGAAGGGCTGGTAAATACAGGACATAGACCATCACGTCAACAGTCACACAAGTGTTGATAAAAGGTCCATCTGAGCTGGTTCTCCTTTCCAGACAGTGGCTAAGGCCAGCTGCTCCACAGAAAGGGATCAACACAATGCACTCATGTTACAGTATAATCTTCTTTTCTTTCCACCAGCCCCACTTCCCTTTTAAATACCCCTCCCCAGCCCATTTCTGCTCTTCATTATAATGAAATAGGTGAAATGAACTCAATGTAATTGCTACATTTATAGAAAGTGCAAGTAGAACAGGTTCTGTGCTCAAAGTGGGTGGGTAAAGCAAAGCTCACTGTGGTGATAAAATAAGGACATAAAAAGGTGTTTATGAAACTGTAACACTTTAAATACCTGCTATTTTGAAATACTGTATTTTTTTTCCCAAACTGTCATTTTTAGGCAAGCCTGAGAAATGTTTCAAATGGGAAGCTGCTGACTTTTTCATAACAAAAAAAAATAATTCTTTGCCTGAATATACAGATTTTTTGCCATTCAAGTCAAAACAGATAATCAAATTTCAATTAAACATTCTTACAGGGCTTTACGCACAGGTTTTGGACTGAGATCAGTGATAATATCTCCTGGAACATAAACGTGTCTCCAAGAGCTATAGCAGCTAATAAAAGGGAAAAGTAACTGGTGCTGAAGATCAGCACTAACTATGTGAGGGCTTTGAGCACCCAAAACAACTCTGTAACAGCAAAAATATGTTCCCTCCTGAGCACAGCCAGCAATCCCTGTGCTCCCCGAGGCACAGAGCCGGGCAGGCTGCTGTGTTTTCCTAACGACCATTAAGTGCTATTCTTAGTTAGGACTTTGCAAGCGCTGTCTTGAAAAACCAAGGAGCTCTGCAGTCTGAGTGCACCGCCACAGCCCCTCACCTGCTCCCGAGCTCTGTAAACTGGTAGCAATCCAGCCTCGGCACACCGAGCTGCTCTCCAGTCCCGCCCCTGCTTCAGTGCACAGCCCGTCGTCGTCTCCAGCTGACCCTGGCAGGTTCCAACGTGAGCAAACTGCCAAAGAATGAAAATTGAGATTGGTTTAAAAAGCCAGCAACAAACCCCCAAATAAACCTGATGGGAAATGTGGGCGAAATCCTATTTGCCCGTTTATTTGTTATTCTTTGGACTGCAGCAGCACCTAGTGGCCTCTGGAAGAACCAGGAGCCTTCCCCGCGCAGCACAACCAACCTCTACCACAAAAACCTTGGGAGGGTTCCCACTCAGCCCTCACCCAAGCTCCGGCGTGCTGCTCTCGGGGGCGGGCACATCTGCGCTTGGGCATCGCTCCAGGCTCCCACCACCCGGCCACTCTGCCCGGGGAGCCCTGGTTGCCATGGTGGCCACTTGGCCCACTCACAGAGGGGGTGCAGCATCCCCCGCTGGGGGTTTAGACCCTCCCTGAGTGCCTGGCTAAGTGATTCTGGTGCTTCAGCAAGATCCAGAGGAATAAAAGTGCCATTACAAAGTTCCCACGGGAAAATCTGGTTTTCCACCTTGCTGTCAGATGCAGGTGATGGTATTTGGGAAGATTGAGCTGCCACGGTGCAGCTTTTCAAGGCTTGATTCTACTTTGTTCCTCTAACTTTAGATAATAAAGATAAGAGCAATTATTTGGAGCTTATTATTCATGATGCCATGCTGAGCATGCTTTTAAGTACAAAAATAGGTAAAGGACTTCTATGACTTAAAGAGGGTAATGTAAACCTTGTTTATGTCAAATAAGCTGGTCCAGATAATGCAATTTTGGTTACAGGAAAAAAAAAAACCCACCAACAATGTTTACCACCAGGTAGACTGAGCTAATTTAATTTTCCTTTTAGTAGCCAGAATCATGCTGTGGTTTGGGTTCAGTATGGGACAAATGCTGATAATATGCTGGTTTTAGCTGTTGCTAAGGAATCAAGGACTCTCCCACTTTCCCTGTCTTGTCGGTGTGCAGCAGCACAGGAAGCTGGGAGGGAAGGTGGCCAGACCTGCTCACCCACATTACCCAAAGGGATATTCCCCACCAGAGCACAGCCCGCCCAGTATAAACTGGGGAGCTCCCACCCTGTATATAAACTGGGGAGGAGCTGGGCCAGGAGGGGCCAATTGCTGCTGGGGCAACAGTCAGCAGGGGGTGAGCAATTGCATTGTGCCTCACAGCCTTCTGGGGGTTTATTTCCCTTTCTTTTTGCTATTTCCCTTCTCATTACTATTCCTATCATGCTGTTTATTATATTTTATTTTAGTTATTAAACTGTACCTCAGCCCACAAGTTTTCTCCTCAGTTCAGTGCATCACAGCCTTCTAAGGGTTTATTTCCCTCTCTTTTTGTTATTTCCCTTTTCATTACTATTTCTATCATACTTTTTTACTGTTTATTATATTTTATTTTAGTTATTAAACTGTACCTCAGCCCACAAGTTTTCTCCTCAGTTCAGAAACAACTAGAGAAAGACACAGTGTGACAGGCACATGAACCTGCAATTTGTTTTCATCCTATTCTATTCATTTTCAGATTCAGTAACTTTGGGTCCACTATTACAAACTCAAACAGAACTTCAGCTTTTAAATTATTACTCCACTAGAAGTACTTTTTTATTTCCTAAATGGCTGCAAGTTTTGTGTTTCCTGCTGTTTTTCAGAAATATGTGGGCAAAGCTGAAGAAGTTTTAAGGATGAAACTCAAAATGTCCCTTCCTAATACCATGAAAAGATTCTAAAGCAACTCTAGGATAAAACAATTAAGGAAGAGTTGTGTGGCATAGGTCCAGTATAATACAAGTTTGACTAAAACCACTTTAAAACATTATCTTAAATATATTTTAAAGTAGATTCTGTATGTGTATTTCCATACCAAAGTGTATTGTTGTATTTATATTGTTCTGGCTGCTAACAGGTCTATGCTTTGTTAGTGAAAATAAGAAAAAATAAGTATTTTAACTTGGTTCACACAGGAAACAAGGCTTCTGCAGCTGCACTTTCCATTTCTGTCATCCCATAATTTTCAAATCTTCAGGCCATTTTCAAGAAACTTTGAGAGAAAATATTTCAAAGGTGACTGGAACCATCCCAGCTCTGTATGGGCCAGTGGCAGGACAGAAAAGTACAGCAGTAAAGGCAGGTGGGCCCTGATGGATTGCCCAGGAGGATGACAACAGGCAGTGAGTGCTTGTACTTCCCTTGTACAGCAGTCAAAAGCTGTACTGCCTCTTGTGGCATGGAGAATCACTAAGGTTGGAAAAAACCTCCACGATCATCAAGACCAACCGTTAGCCCAACACTACCATAAGCACTAAACCATGTCCTCAAGTACCATGTCCACATTTCTTGAACCCCTCCAGGGATGGTGACTCCACTATGAGTAATGTACGAATAAAAATTACCTCTTATGAGAAAACAATATTTAAAATCCTTTATGCACTATTCAGGGCACAGTTTGCCTGTTAGGCCATCACAGCCAACCCTTTGCCAAACTCCGTGGCCAAGCAGAGACCAGCACACTACAACTCCTGCTCTCCCCACACTCTGAGGTTGCCCATCCCCAGGTGGCCACTGGTTCCAGGGTTACAGTCACTCAGCGTCCTGCAAACCCCCGTTCCCTTACCTAAGCTACGCAACCCTGCCATGTACCATCCTTCCCCCGGGCGAGG